TCAATAATGAATCGGAATGCATCGCGAGTCAGCTGGTCTCATATCAATACAAAAGAACCAGTTTACCTGTAGCAAAATGGCGAGCTCAAGATTTGCAGTTTTGGCATATGAAGATTTAGTTAATTACTAGATAAGTATAAACTCGAACAATGAACTTATTTATTGATAAATAGAATTCCTTTTATGACTGTATTCTAATTTGTTGTTATTTTTTTATTTATTCCTGTTGGAATTAACCGAATTAAACATTCAATTTGTTACAGTATAGACCAATCCACACTTTACAAAAGTTGTTTCCCTGTGCAGGGTCAACCAAACGGTCAAAAGGGAAAGAAACAACCTCTTTCCTCTTTATGCTACCAAATATTTGGGCGGGCTATGATGGATACACTGTGTCTAAATTGTTTTCTTTGGATGTGTAGCTAGCCCTAACATGGGGCAATCAGTATACACTATGCAACGATTTTTCCAAGTCAAATGACAAAGTTACAAACCTGAAAACTACAAAGGGCACTGTGAGGAATCTATGGGTTTATCCCCTAAGATGGCGGCCAAGGGACATAACTTTTGAAAAGTGTGGATTCAACTATTGAATAAGACTTTTTCAAATGTAGTGTTTGTATCGGTATGATAAAACAGTTAACGTATAACAATGAGGGAGTCAGCAAGATTCCTGTTCCCCTCGAGCAAGCTTATTTACTAAATAGACTCGCTCTTGGGGAACTGAAATCTTGCTGATTCCCTCAATGATATACTTTAACTGTATATTGAAGACTAGAGGTTGTAAGCCTGGTAAACAATTGTGCGAAAAAAGGCCCTGCATATGCAAATGTTTGAATTTAAGTTTTCAAAATGTTCTACAAATAATAGAAATAAAATCAAAGAAATACTAAATCGTTCTTTAAGGTCCTGGTACACTATTATACTTCAGATGTTGAAAATTAAAGTTTTCAAAATAAATAACTTTAATAAATGATATTAAAATGAGGCCTTTGTTAAAGGCCACGGTACCTTATTATACTTCAGATGTCGAAAATTTAAGTTTTCAAAATGAATAATCCTAAATGATATTAAATAAAAACCATTAATGAAGACCCTAGTACACTAGTGATTTGGATATGTCGGAAAAAATTCAAATGATTAATTAAGAAAAGTAAAATAAAGTCTTTGTTGAAGGCCCTGGTACACTATTGTGCTACAGATTTCTAAAATTAAAGTTTTCAAAATGAATAATTCTAAAGGATATTGAAATAAAGCCATTGTTAAAGGCCCCGGTACACTATTAAACTGCAGATGTCGAAAACAAATTCCAAATGAATAATTGAAAATAATGTTCACAGCTAATTCACTCAAAATTAGCTGCTGTTATCGAAGGAAGTGCATGAATGCCTTATCTAGATATCTGTACTTATTCCTAGTGATTATCGTTCTTGTCAAATATTTTTGTTGATTATTGTCCCTTTTCGTCAAATATACAAATGAAGGAACTTTGGTTGCAACTTCCTTTTTCAATATTCCAGCATCAACTTTGGTCAGTGATATTTTTTACAAGCTTGTTATTGTATATTATATATTTGAAACACATTTAGAAAAGATACTGCTTTTCTGTTTTTTATGCTTTCAGGTAAAGACTTGACATAAACATGAATAACATGTTAAACCGGATTTATTCGTGTTTTGGGTTTTTGTCATCATTAGAACAATTCATAGGGGGTAATTTTATTGACCAACCAGGAGAGACACTGAGTGTAGATTCTACTTCCCCTTTTTTTTATTCGATTGCAAAGGAGGGTTTTACAAACTGAAACTCTTTTCTGCGATCATTTTTTTTATTTCGGAAAAGAGAAGTGCGATACAGAAGTTTTTGTGAATAGTTGGTAATTTGTGAAATCATACGTATATCCAGCAATACCCTAGGAAGCGACTGAAGTTCCCTCTCCTAGGACAATGAATGCAGAGGAAATAATTAGTGTGCGCCATCTGGGACGTTCGTATATACTTTATGCATTAGGTGACCTTGAAATTTTATGAATGCTACTTGTAATATTTGCACTTTTAATTTGGATTGTAAAAATTTCACGTTGGACATCTGGGCTAAAGCAGGTCTTACGGCATGCAAACTTATGCAGTGCGCAGATCTGATTAAATTTGCAGAACCCCCACTGCGTGTCTGCCTACTTAATAGGGTAGGCGTTAAAGAAAGAAAAACTTCAACTCTTTGATTGCAGGGAAAAATAAATATGCAACTTATTAAATGTTAAAATTTCGATTTTTTTACTTGTATTTTTAGAAATATGGTAATTTTAGATTGATTGATTGCATATTGTTTAACATCCTTCTCGAGAATTTTTCACTCATATGGAGACGTCACCATTTGACGGTGAAGGGCTTCAAATTTTGACCTTTACTCAGCACTCAGGGCCATTGAGCAGTGAGGGATCTTTATCGCCGCTGACACGGGGCCTCGGTTTTTAGGGTCTCATCCGAAGGACCCGCAACTTTCACTTCAAAGTGCCGAGCGCATGGCGTAGGAACAGTTGCTACCCATTTTTTATCGACTGGGTCAGCCGCGGCCGAGATACGAACTCACGACCTCCCGATCACGGAGCGAGCGTTCTACCGACTGAGCTACCGTGAAAGGTGGTAATTTTAGAAGTTGTAAGTTTGACAGGGATATCGTATTTCAATTTACCAAAATTTTAATTATCACCAATGAAAAACAAAAGAAAATAAGACATAAAATCTGAATGAATTAAGTTTGTTTTAGTACATAATTAACTCGGAGCTCGAAAATAAGCAAAATACGCTTTTCAATGATGTAGACTTAATGAGTTAACTTAAATATTCTTTTTTTATTTAAAACACTTATCCGTAAAAATAGTCATCCAATTTCTGTTGTTTTTCGAACTCATTTTTGGGTATGACCCGCAGTTACGGGAAACTGAAAGATCTTAGGATTTCCTGGACTCGCTTCTTCCTTCTGAAAGGTGTTTACAAGAAAGGAAAATGAAACAAGTCTAAAGGCGAAAGGTCTGGCGAATATTATTAATGTGAAAAAAGAAAATAACTTTCTGTTTATCCCGAAAACACCTTTATAATTCAGGGAGTGGGGTTTGGACGCTGTCATGAAAAAATAATGTAGTGGATTCCTGATTCTGGTTGCTTCCTCTCATTAACCTGTCGATTCTTTTGCAAAAAAATTGCATTCTAGACTTCAGAAATTATACTACCTCCCTGAATATCTTCGCTGTTTTTGTCATGTGCATCTTATTGTTAATTTTGTTTCGAGGGTTTTAAGCAACAGATTTAAGTTTCATTATCTGTTTGAATTTCAAACAAATGTGGATAATTGCAATTACTAATATTTTAAAATAATTGTTAAGATATTTTAATACGCCGTCGTTTTCACTCATTTTTCAAAACATTCGGTGACCTTTTAGTTCTAAACTTCTTTTACTGTCAAATGTTTCTTTAAAACAGTGTGAACTAATCCCAAAATACTTTCTATCAAATTTTCAGGTGTTTTAAAGTAAATCATACAACATCAGTATTATTTGTTGTAATTTGACAAACAGTACAGTATTTGTTATAACTTTTGTTTTCAATGATGGTACCCATTTTTAATGCCCATTATATATTTTCCTCATTGAAATAATCCTGTTCATTTCTTTTTAAAACATACATTGGTTGTCGTAAATTTTACATATCACAGTGAATTTTTTTTTTGGGATCCTTAACGAGTTTTACGGCAGCTTTAATGAAGCATTAATTTCACTCTGGTTTACCGGTTCTTTACCTTTCATTCTTAAGTCCGTGTCTCGAATAGCTTCTGTTTTCCAGCTTCTCACAATGAAACTATGTTATGAAAAGTGGTCACATGAACATATTTTTTTTTATAAATTCATTCAAGATTCAATAATGTGAAAAGGTCCCGCTTAATGTTATTTGATATCTGTATTGTATGTCATACTGTTTATTGACCAGCCATCATATATTGTATCAAAAAAACATTTACATTACATCGGACCACTTTTTCAAATGTTATGAAATCATTTTAAGTGGTATTTACTGAATTACATTTTTTAAAATTTCTTGTCAAATATACAATTTTACAGAGTAAAAAAATCAATATACTCCAGTGATTCAGTACACGCTAAATATAATACATTTACAGTGATTCAGTATTTTAGGTAAGAAGGAATATTCGTGCTATATTGACAAAGATTGTAGAGAAAATTTTAAAAAGTCGTCTGTACTATTTTTTAAATCGTTTGTGTTATTTTGTAAATCGTTGAAACAGTTTAAAAAAATCGTTTGAACGAATTCGAAAATCGTTTGGTTTGAACGATTTAGAATATCAAACAAAGGATTTTCTAAATCGATTTTCTAATTTTCTCTGCATTGTCAATATGGCAAGAATACACAAGCCCTTTCCCGACTCAAGGAAAATTCATTGGGTTGAAATGAAGTTGTGAATTCTTTTTCCTAAAAATTGAAACATATTTGTTAACGGAATAAAATGAATAAAAAGAAATATCTTAAAATGGGATGTAAAAAATTGAGTTGAACCATTTTTAGTCAGTCGGTTGGTAGAAAGTTTTATTCATATGGACGAATCCTCCTTGGATAGTTTTAATTTATGTTCTTTCGTAAATTGCCAGTATCAAACTTATTTCTGCTCTTCTCCAAACAGCATTACGTTTTGTTTGCAATATCTGTATAAAAGAGAAAACCATTTCGTATATTGATTAGGTCATATGCATTAAAAAATATCCTTACTTGATACTTTAATTACCCCATTTTATGTCGAATCGAAATAGCAATGAGAAGTAGATTGCTTTTTCTTTCTTCCTCTCATTTTTTAAAACCCTGAAAACTTGGTATGTATGTGTACTCTATGTGTTTTTCTTAAATGGATAAAATCGTTTAACTATCACAAGGAAGGAAGAATAGAAGCCAAACACGAACTTTTAAAAAAATATTTTCCTTACTTGATTAGTTTTAAACATTAGCGGATTGAATGAGCCACGTTAGAAAACTGAAATACATGGACCTTTCACTGCATGTTATCTGTGTTGGAATTGCCTTTATAAATGTAACAGATGGTTTCGGTAATTGTTTTAATATTTTCTACCCACAATTTTTTTTTTTAAATTAGAAAATTTGGTGTTATGGGTATGACTAGTTGCTACTTAAGTTGTTTAAGATAAACGTTATATGATAAATGTAAAAAAAAAATATTGCTTTCTTTCCAAATTCACTCTGCTTGTGAATTAATAGTAGAGGACTGTGTGCTGTAAGACTTGTAGATTAGATATATTTAGTATCTATGTTGATTTACATTTTCATTTCACAGAAGGACTTTTCCTACATTGTTTGACCCTCCGTACAGTCATCAGAATTAATTCTAAAACATATTTTTTAAATAATATTCTGAATTATTTTATTTGTAACTGATGACAGTTTGTTTACAAACATTATGAACACACTATTATGATAAACTTAAATTAATAAAAGATATAGTATTGCTTTATCCGTTTGATATTTACAGCCACTGTAGGGGACAATCCAAACCAGAAAGTTGCCTACGTGTAGGGCTACACAAATACGTAATACAACAATCATTACTCTCAATTAAGCGAGTTATTCCCCTAATTAAACTAATTCAAACAAGTCACGTATAGCCCAGAAATCAACATGACAATACTTTTATTATACATAACTAAACGCTCTCGACTGAAATCACCGTTTGGCAAATTCCTTCGATGAAAAAATGACCTTGTCAACAAAAACCATTATCCATAATATCAAACTTTAACTGATGTATTTTTAAATAAATTTCTGTGTCATTTTTTAAATGAACTGCCTGAAGAAATTAATTTCCGTATGCTCATTGATGGTAATGGCACACAGTCAATGTAATCATTTATCAGGAGATGCTTCCTTCCGTCTTTTATGTTTTCAAGAGATCTGTGTTTGCTCTGCCGCACACTTATGTTTTTTCCTTCTAACGTGGTATTCAAACATCATTACTACGGATTGTGAATTGTTTTTAAGATTATAATAATCTATCTTAAATCAACTCAGGGAATACAATTTTAGGCTTTCTGATATCATGTTATTGAAATGATTGCTTGTATGATAGTTATCAGGTGGAGAATTTCCTTCATAGAGAGATGTCATCTTATATCAGTAAAGTGCTTCAAATGTAAACGTTTACACGGCACTTAGGGTCATTGAGATTTGAGGACTATTTATCGTGCCAACGACTAACGAGACTAAATGCCTTTTTTATTGTCACATCAATATAAACAGCAATTTTCAGTGCTTGTTGGAGACACACTTACCTTCTGATCACATGTTATTGTAAATATGTTTTTGTAACATATTAAATAAATAAAATGCATATAAAATGCATAAGCAACGTTTGATTTTAAAAAAATGTGTTTAAGACAATATATCATAACCTATGATTTCGTCTTTAAACATTACCATGAAATGGGTTTACAGGAAATTAGATTTAAAGAATTTATATTTTAGAGAACCTTGCGGGAAAATTGACATACAAGGGAGTTACTTCACAGAGTACAACACACACCAACGGTAAATGGGCGTCAGATAAAGCCGTTGACGGACTTCTACAGGGGGATGATGTCTGTAGCTTCACACGGTCTGGAGACTTTAAAACAGCCTGGTGGAAGTTAACGTTGGTTAGGTGGTCCAATGTTGCATATTTGCAAATTTACTTCAGAAAATCTAGTAAGCATTAATATGGTTTAGAATACATTTCTCTTCTATTTATGCGTATCTACATCGATCATTTCTTTAAACTCATTTCCAGATTTCGGCGAGTATACAAGTACAATATTTAAAATCATTTCATCGTAACTCATAAAGAAGGCTATTAAACAGGATTTCAATAATCTTCTTTTCAGTCAGCATTTTTAAATTCCTATAAATTTTATATGGCCTTAATTATGAATACTTTTTGGTTGTATTTTGACAGGCATACAATGTATTTCATAACTATTGGTAGAATTTCAATTTTATACTCATGATACTACAGAAAAATCGGTTCTTTTGATAAATAAAGAGTACTTGTGGCGGGAGTATTGATCAACAGGGATGCCTAAGCCTTTTTGAGTGCCCACGAGTCTGCATTTTATGTAATGTTCAGAAAATGGCAAAAAGAGAGCTTTTGATCGAAAATAACGTCATTTTCACCTTTGATCATATTGTGTTGTATGGTGGCTCTTATCTCAAAGTCAGTGAAAAGTTTCTGTCAGTCTTTTTATTTATATAATCCCTGCTCTGTACTCTTAATGGCAAAATATTAATATCTCCAGGACATGAGTATGTATTGTCCAACAGTTCGTTATTACCGGTACATCCATCGACTGAAAAGCGTGATAGCATATAGTAATCGGGATGTCTGTCCGTCTGTTACTCTTTGGGGTACCCATGTGTTATCCGTTACTCTTATCATGCATGTATTACTGTATAGATTTAGATTGTATTTTGTTTAAGGTTCCTCTCGAAAATATTTGACTCACACGGAGACGCCTCTACTTGGCTTCGGAGAGCTACAAATGTTATCTAGTACTTGCCACTCAGGGTCATTGAGCAGTCGAGGATCCTCTTTGTACCAGCACCTACTGCGGCACGGGACTTCAGTTTATACGGTTTCATCCGAAAGACCGCTCTCCACGTGCCACAGTGAGATTTGAACCCGCAACGTAAGGATTATCTCCTTACACCTTGACTCTAGAGCAGACGCTCTAACCACTGCACCACGCAGGCAATGAATGAAATTTGATGAAACTTTCACAAAATATTCACGACATACTGCCATTTTGCACCTCCTATTTACTTTTTGATCCGACACATATTTTGGGTTTCACATAACAAAAACATGAACATTGCCATTATATTCATATGGGAGACGAAGTATCATTTTGTGAGCTCATCGCTCACAGTCCTCTAGAAACAATCATATTTATTCATTTTTGTTCACAGACATTAAACTTTCTAACTTTTTAACCACCTTTTTTTATCTTTTTTTTTTTTTTTTTTTGCCATTTCTATAAAAATCCCTTTTTATATAAAAGTGAGCTTTCTAACTCTAGTACACTGATAGGCATTATTTGATTTACGTCTCTTATTTATTTTCGAAGACGCCTTTGACTGTGGAATACATAGAACAAACGTTTTCATTTTGATTTTTTTGTACTTAAAATCCGTATAGATCATTTTAAACATAATGACGAAGAAAGGAAACAATAAAAAATTAAGAAAAAGTTCGAATAAATATTTTGTTTCTCAAAAAAAGTAGTGCAATCAAGAATTTTCGATGAGTATATATTTGTTAGCATAATACATCTCAAATTCACTTAAGTTTCTTTATCAATATATATATATATATATATATATATATATATATATATATATATATATATATATATATATATATATATATATATATATATATATATATATATGCTTGATTTTTAAAGCTGTAAATCGCCATATCGGATTCAATGTGATTGTGTTTAATGAAACAACATATGAACCATCAGCTAACAAGTCTGAGGATGGATATAAGGTGTTCACCCAAGATCCATCTTATTGCATAGAACAAGTGATGAATGTGACCGTCAATAGAGTGACTAAAGGAATAGCTCTATTTAATTCAAACGATCCCTTGCTTAACACAAGTTGTGAAGGATATGAACCTGCATTTGCTTCCATCGAAATTTGTGAACTAAAGGTTATGGGTAGGTATTGCATTAAAAATAAAATTGATGCACAAGACACTGATTGGTGATTTTTCCAGCTGTTTTTTTTTTTGTTTATTTTATGCTTCTAAAATATTTTACAACAATATTTTAAATGAGATATTCATTTATTTCTTCAGGGTGTGAGTCAACACGATATGGGGAAAATTGCACACCATGTTCATCTTATTGTTTTGCCCAGAAATGCGATGCCTTTGATGGCTCCTGTAAATACGGGTGTAGCGACAGGTTTATTAAACCACCTGATTGTAGGAGTTAGTTCAGTCTCTCTTAAACTACTCAGCTGTTAACTCTTTACTTAAAATGAAGTGCTCTGTTGAATAAATTCCATGTCTGATAAATACAACTTAACATTCTACATGTACCATGAATGTAACCACGCTTTCAATGCACAAAATGTCAATGAGAAAGCTAAGATAAAATAAGATATTTATTTGAATTCTTTTAGTTTGTAGAGACGGTTTTTACGGTCATAATTGTGAAGGAACCTGTGGTAAATGTAAAAATGGCGCCGTATGCAATAAAACTACAGGAATATGTCCAAATGGATGTCATTATCAATGGAATGGTCTAATGTGTAATTGTAAGAATTATGTAGCAATTATTTTCATTATCCGATCCAACGCTCTTTGCTTTGTATTTTGCATAGAGTGCCTGAGAAGTTTTAATTTATACACAATTTCTTTTATTTCGTTTTAAAGTGTGTAAAAATGGATTTTATGGTGACAACTGTACAAAGACATGCGGTCATTGTAAACCAGGAACATATTGTCAAAATTTGACGGGCATTTGCCATGACGGATGTGATGACCATTGGAATGGTTCCAAGTGTAATGGTAAACATTACATTAAATTTGTAAAAATTTCACATCTGAAATCTAACCAGAGCCTTTCTAGTGAAAATTTCTTAAACTATATATATAACTTTTAGGCTTTTTTTAAATACAATGGCGGAAATACTGTGAGTAATATAGATAATGTGCTCATTGTCTTTACTTTTTGTCTGTACATGTACATGTATGTATCATTGCCTGAAATTGAAGTACATTAAGATAACTTAAACTAATTGACTATTGCATAGATAAACACTTTATGCTTGGAGTATTTATTCTACAAACTATATTTATATCCATGTCCCAAACCTCCCTACTTCCTGTTAGAACACTTTGAATAAAAATACGATACATTCCTCCAGTATGCAAAGATGGCTTCTATGGTACGAGTTGTTCAAGTTGCGGGAGTTGTGCGAATGGAACCTTTTGTAACAACATTACAGGAATATGTCCAGGGGGTTGTGAAAAACATTGGAATGGAACCAAGTGTGACGGTAATGACAGAGTTAAGGTCAAGATCTAGTAATGGAAAGGGGGTTACAGATTTTTCAAATTTAAGAAATGAATTCATTTAATGATGCTTTATAACATTAGCTTGGTCAAAATAGGTGTTTCGGGGCATAATTTGTAGAAAAACAAGATGAAAAGCCATATTTTATACTGTCATTTTCAATGAAAAAAAAGAAAACCAGTATTGAAAATGGGAGTTTTTTTTCCATATCAGACAAAGAAAATGTATCTAGATTGCCTACAGTTTTTCAGAAAACCGTAATTTCTATGTTCTTAGTCTCTACTTTAAAATAATGTCAAATTTAAGATAGGTATCGAGACTACTTTTCATGTGAATTCAAATTGAATTCCACGAAAATTATTTATTTTCTACATATTTCTATTAGAGTCGTAAAGTACGGGAAAAAGAAAGTTGAAAGTGATTATGACGTCATAATGGATTTATCAGTGACACTATTTACTAGATCTTGACCTTAAAGAAATTTTTAGTCTTTGCAATCTTAACAACTAATGATTGGACTTCTATCTATCATTTTTTTTTTAGAAAATCTTATATTATTATACATTATAGCCATTATACACCGTATTTGGGTACATTACAGAGTGTGACGATGGATATTATGGATCTAGTTGCAATAAAAGATGTGAAAATTGCATCCAAACAAAATGCACAAGTGCAGGACATTGTCTGCTAGGATGCAGAGATAATATGAAAGGTTTGAAATGTGATGGTACGTATTCGGATTCTTTTTCTAGATGCAATATACAAGCTTTTTATAGAAGTTTTAGACTCAAACTCATCATAAAAAAATCATCTTCTCCAATCCATGCAAAATAAATGTCCTGAGTTTGTAATTGTGATCTGTTACGCTTATTTAGAAGTGTTTTATAGAAAACAATTTACCACTTGGAGGGAGCACGGCAGGACTTATTGGAGGGGTCATTACGTCAATCATTATTGTGGTAGTTGTTATCATCTCCGTAGTTATTGTTGCAAGGTATGTTTAATCACATCATAGAAACGACAAGAAGTCTTTTTACAATGCTAGCCATGATATCTGAAAAGAATTAACTGAAAATGGATATATTTAACAATATTCTATCAATCATATAACCTTAATATTTTACATTTAATGCCAATAATTTTGTGCGAAATATATTATGTAAATCAGAAACATAAGCATCGTTTTTTTAATATCAGTTTATTGTTTTATACTTCAGTACCCGAGCATTGTGTTAATATCATTTTGTGGTTTCACACTTATCGTTAGACCTTTTTTCCAACACTGAATTACATACGGAGTTATTTTCCAATCATGATAAGGAGCATACGGCAGGCGTTACCAATCGGTAGGGGATGCTTACTCCTCCATGCAACTCATCCAATCTCTGTTGTTCAGAGGCCCGAGTTTGCTCAGCTCCTGATTTGTAGCATTTAATAGCATTTAATGGTCTTTTGAGCTTTGAATGTTTTTGTATGCTTCATATTGCATTCAGAACTCTTCCATTTCTTATATCTATTAATTCTTTGAGGAAAACAACAAAAACCCAGTCAAAAAGAATCAAACTTTTTTAACAATTTAATGCTTTACTTTCTTTATCAGCTTAATTTTTATGCAATGTTAAAAGCTTAATTTTTCAATGTTAATGAAACACTTTCAAGCATAGAATGTACATCTTTTTAAGACGACGGAAATTGCATCAAGAAATAAATGAAAAAAGAAGCTCTGCAAAGGTTGAGGAAGACAATAATAAAATTGAAGAAAACCATTTAGAGATAAATGGTACGTATCACTACACAACAAAATGTTTATAGGTATATGTGTATGACTTCTGAATAAAGATATTTCAATAAAAGAAAGAGGGAAAGGGGGGAAGGCTATTTGTTATAATATGAATCACCCCGAGGAGGGGTCCAGATGTTAACACTATAATATCCACTCAAAAATTTGATTTTTTGTTTTAATTTTTACAGGTGATTTACATCAATCATCAACTCAAGAATCGCGGCTTGACTTTGCTGGTGATTGTATGTATTACAATACAAATCAAACATCCAATGATATCAAAATTGAAGACCTACAGAAAAATATAGCAACAAAAATCGTCGGTGAAAAGTCCCCTTTTCTTTTGGAATATAATGTAAATTTTTATTATAAATTTATAGATACCTACATGTAGCTATTTCGTATTTTCCAGCATTTCCTTGGAAACACATTAATTACCAGGAATTGCCAGTATTTCCTACCTTCCTTGAAAAAATAATAGTAATAAATTCTTTTATTTAGATAGGATAGCACAATTAGTACATATAACCAGTTTACATTGTGTTCCAGTATAAAACTTATTTACAGACAGATAAAAAAATGAAGTTGAAAAAAGAGTTATATATATATATATATATATATATATATATATATATATATATATATATATATATATATATATATATATCATATTATATCAGACATATTTGAAAAAAATGTATATCCCTTTTTTGCCAGCTGTGATATAAATAACCACTAGTATAATTTTGAACTTTATAAAGTTTTATTATTTATGTAGGTCAGAAAATATGTCTATATTCTAAAATGAAAATCCTGTTTTAATATCAGCAAACTTCTTAAATCTATATAGAACACATCCAATTAATTCTTCATATAGGAAAGTCTATGAGTTTCTCTGTGTTCTTAACTTAACATTCTTTGTTTTTTTCGTTGGGCTTTCTCGATTATGTTACAAATACTTTCATTTGAAACAAAATCGTTCTATTTTCAAACACAAAGAGACTTCCCCATGGCGACGTGAATAAATGCCACACGGCTCAGGAGAAAGAAAATCTCGCCAAGAACCGATTTCGAACAACATTTCCTTGTAAGAATTATTTTTAAAGCATCTGTAATATTCAATGCTTTTGTCATAATAAAGATAAAAAAAATATTTGAACGACACTCTCTTGATGTGTATCGAAGCTTCTTAACTAAAAGGAAAATTTGAATTTGTTATTGTAATAAATGATAAATTTTATGAAAACATTTTAAGGAAATTAATACAAAACTTACGTTTTTAGATGAACACTCCAGAGTTATTCTCAAAGAGAAATGGAACAAGGACGACAATGATTACATAAATGCAAACTATGTCAGGGTTAGAGGGGTTTTTTTTTTATTCAAATGATTGATTCTTTCTGAAGGTGCATGTAAAATATTTTTTGGATTGTATTTGATAATTATTCTTTTAGGATTTAAATGGTGAAAGAAGCTTCATTGCAACGCAAGGTATAGGTCTTTTTTATTTTACTTTTGCAAAACATTCTTTTAAAAATCACACTCATCTCCCGCAATAATGCTTGGTTAACTTATTAATAATACTCTGCTGCTATTTAAACTGATTTATATAGTTACATCTATTGAGGTATAATATCAAAGTTTAGATAAAATTAAAGTGTTAACAATATCAGCGTTTTGTATTTCGAAATGAATTAAGGCTACCTATACATTTTTATGTAAATGAACTGTTTAAAATACACAATGAATGTATCTTTTTACAGGGAATTTTTAAATTTAATTTCTTGAACTTACTTAGTTCCCAAGTAATTTTATAGTCAGTTTATATTGGAGGAAACGATATGACTGTATAAGTCTTTACTTTTCGCAGTAATAAAACATCATCATATTTTGTTGGCAAAGGGGCAATATCCTTTTAATTTCATATATAAAATGTATTATTTAAAGATTATTTTAAAAATGAATAAAAGTGCTGCAAAAATACTTTAGATTTTCTCATTTGATTAGAATTTGACTGAGAATTTTAACCGTATTTCACTTCAATTCAAAACTATATTAAAAATGTAACTAAACGATAAAGACTTTGATATTTTTGCAGTAATATAATTTATGCTTGGAATATTCTGCTTCTTATAAGACCCTTTTCTGTACAGTTTAATATGGTATTTTTGTTCTTTAGAATTCTTTTTGGAAGAGAAAATGACGTCATTATATGACATCAAAATATAAAGTGCATGGCCAAACATTTTGTGGGTAGTTGGTGTCTTTCTGAAAATAAGTTTTAAGTTTTTCTGTATTACATGAGCCTTAATTCGCTTAAGGGACTCCGACCCTCAGCCAGGAAGGACAACTCTTAATTATAATTAAATTCAAAAAGTCTTTAAATGAAGCTTGAAAATTAAATCTTTTCAAGCAACAATTTTCATTATTTAAGAAATAAGGTATCATTTGTTGAGATTTATTGGGATGTAAAACGGGTTGGTCACGTGATCAAATTCCATAAAGCCCGAAGGGCTTTATGGAAGATTTGATCATGTGCCAACCCGTTTTACATCCCAATAAAACTCAAAAAAGATACCTTATTACTTATATTTACATTTGTGACTAATTCATATTTTAAATTTGCCTGATTGTGACTTATAACGTGTGAAATGCATTATTTTTCAAACTCAACGGCATGTAGGCCTATATGTAATCCACTGAACGCGCGTCGACCCTTTATGACGTCACTGAGAAATTACGTCGAACGTTTATCCATACGAACATCTATGACCTCTTGACCCCGTACCTCTATTTATACAGTTATAAAAACGCTTGCTTTCAGTAGTGTTGTATAAAGGAAAACATTTGCAAATGTAAATATATGCCTCTCAATGTGCTTCAAAGTTCTTTGCAAAGCTCCATAAATCACTTCTAATTTCATATCATGTTAATAAACATTGGTATCTTAAAATGCTTTTTCGGGATAAAAATTTCTACTTTTAATTAGACCTTTCTGAGAAGTTCAAAGAACCTTGAAGCACATTGAGAGGCATTTAATGAAAATTGTTGCATGAAAAGATTAAATTTTCAAGCTTCATTTAAAGACTTTTTGAATTAAATGATGAACTGAAGAGTTGTCCTTCCTGGCTGAGGGTCGGAGTCCCTTAAGTTCATGCAGTTATAAAACGTTTGCATTTTGATTTAGACGTTTTTGTGTTGCCTTTTCCTAATGCAATTTTTTGCGATCCTAATTTCTTTTATTTACATCACAAAAATAAATGAATGGATTGCATGTTAAATCTGACAATACTTACGTTGAACGTTTAGTAATTTCATTTTGTCTTCAGGTCCTTCGAAAAATACAACATCAGACTTTTGGAGAATGGTATTACAAGAGAATATTGATTGCGTTCTTATGCTCACAAATCTTGTCGAGAATGGAAAGGTATACCTTAACAGATGAAGGGAATTTATAACTTGCTTCATCTTTCAAATATTTTTTCATCATTGTTTTATGTTTAAGGTCATTTTAATATAATGTCTGCTTGCCCTCTCCCGGCTCAGTCTAAAATAATTGGGACGGTAGGTGGTTTGGAAAATTTTTTTTTGCAGAATATTTCAACATATTTGTTGACGGTATAAAAGAAATAAAAAGAAAATAAAAATTTTGCTCTGGAGTGTGACAAGTAGACGTTGCTTCGGCCCATGTTTATTCAATTGGTCAGGAGATGGCAACCAACCATTATTTTTTTTAATGATAACCTTAATATACGTATATTTCTTTCATGTTTTTTGTTTGTTTTAGATTTTTTCCCCTCATTTTAAGTATATTATTTGCATTTACATAAAAAAAATAGAACAAATGTACTCAGTACTGGCCAAATAAGGATCACCCGATGAAAATTGGTTCACATATGGTTTCCTTGTTGGAAGAATCTACATATGCTTTCTACACAGTTCGAAAACTTTCAATAAAGAGACAAAATGTATGTTATATTTTTTCATTCTATATATTCACAAAAATTACCGAGATGATTCGTGTTCCTTATATTCTTAGAAAAGAGCTTATCTTTTATTGGAACTTTACATTGATATTAAATCTTTTTCAAAGAAAAAATTTGTTTGTATCATCTGTCCTTAAGAAGACTGCATTTTAAATCTCATTGTTCCTTACAGTCAAATGAACTGAGAGCAGTCACACAGTTTCATTATACGGCTTGGCCTGATCACGGAACGCCTGAAGAGATAGAACTCCTTCAATTTCACAAAGCTGTTTTAAAAGTATGGCAAACTGGACCCCCATTATTGGTTCATTGCAGGTTGGTGATAAAAATAATCAATAATTATGATAAATATAAAGATAACAAGATGTGTCTGTGAAACACCGATGCCCCCGTATGGCAACATAGCGAAGGTTAAGCTTTCTCAAATGCAGATCAAATATGTTGGTACCAATTAAGGCCTTTTTACAATAAATGCAAAATATAAAACGCTAGCTACACCTGTTCCAGGGTTATGACCAAGGTTAACATTTTATAATACAGGACAAACTGCATTTCAAGGTGAAAGGATCAAGGTTGTTGGGTTCTAAAGAAAGGCCTTGTCTCAAAGAGTATGTATGGGAAGTATGAAAGCGCTGGCCCTTACCGTTAAGTTATGACCAAGGTTAAAGTTTGTAAAAAGTAGGTCAAGGTCAAAGGGTCAAGATTTTTGATATCCAATGAAAGGTCTTGTCACAAGGATTACAAATGTGAAATATGAAAGCTGTAGCCCCTACTGTTCAAAAGTTATGGTCAAGGTTAAAGTTTGTAAAAAGTAAGTCAAACTCCAAGGTCAAGGTCAAAAGGTAAAAGTTCTTGATATCAAATGTCTTGTCACAGGGATTAAATTTGTGAAGTATGAATGCCCTAGCCCGAACCCTTCAAAAATATAGTCATTGTTGTATTTTTAAAGTAGGTCAAACTCCAAGGTCAAGGTCAAAGGGTCAAAGTTCTTGGTATCCATTGAAATGTTTTTTTTATCAGAATTATATATGTGAAGTATGAAAGCCGTATTTGTTATTGTTCAAAAGTTATAGCCAAGGTTATAGTTTTTTTATAGGTACAAAAATCTCCAAGGTCAAGGTCAAAGGGTCAAGGTTGTTGGTATCAAGTGAAAGGTCTTTTAACAATCATTACATATGTGAAGTATAAATATCCTGGTGTCTACTTTTCAAAAGATATGGCCAAAGTAAAATTTTAAAATTTTCATGTAAAAGTGGGTCAAACTCCAAGGTCAAGGTCAAAAGGTAAAATTTGGTGGTACTCAAAGAAAGGTCTTGTCACAAGAAATACACATATATGAAAGTCATAGCTCCACTAAATCAAAAGTTATGGGCAAGGTTAACGTTTTTGTGGACAAAGAGACAAACAGACAGAGAGATAGACAGACAGACAGACGGACACGAAAAAAAACTATATGCCCCCGAAACCTCGTTTACGGGGGCATAAAAATGACACAGTGTATGGAATAGCGAGTTGTCCATTATCCGTCTGTCTGTCTGTATTTTTTTATTTTTTTTGGTTACATGTCATCTGCAATGTAGTTTGAACTTTATTGGGTTCTTCCTTGGAGTTGAAGAGTTCTGACACTAAATGAAGGACCACTGTGCTATACTTTTAATGTTTATATATGGATTTGTACACCTCTTCTTTAACAATTCTTGATGAAAAATCTGGAATTTATGCTTTGTAATTTTTGTACATTTTTCTTTGATTAATGCAAACATTTTCACAATTTGATATCTTTTCAAAACCCCTGGTGACGCATGTTGAGTTTTTGTCTGAGCACATGAAATGGTATTGTAAGTTTAAATTTAGAATATCTTAAAAAATTATAAGTAGGTGGGGTACTATGCGTATGTCCTTAAGTTTCTTCGAACAAAATGTTGAAATCCATGTTTGTATAACTTTTCATTTTCACGTCATTAAGCTATGCCATCCTAACTGCTCAACTATAATCATGTCATAAAACCTTTGTCATTATATTACAAGACAGTGGACAAGGAAAAAACAGAGAAAATTTAATTAACAAATCATTCAATGTTTTGTTGAATATGGAAATAACTTCACCCGTGAAACATATTTGTTTTAATATTTTTAAGTTTTACGAAGTGTACCTGTGAAATTCGGGTTAACTCTTGTTTACAAGTTTGGAATAAATGGACATTGAACCCGATGTTTATAAACTACGTAAATATTTATCAATGAAAAGTTATCGAAAGAAATGAACAATAATTGATTTAATGACTTTATTAATTTAACATGTATGATTTAATGACAAAGTGGTGTATTTTGTATGTTTTATATGGGTACAGCGTTATTAACTTAGATAATTTTGTTGGTCAAAACCTGCTAACTTATTTATCTATTGCATTGATTGTGACGTAATAGGTATCTGATTGTGTCTTACGTCATCATAACAACTTTTGTCTATATAAACCAGCTGTTTTGGGTTTAGACTTCAGTCGGCTGTGGGGAGTGACTCGGAGCACACAGACTTCCCTGGTTTGTGGAACGACTCCGTATACTTCGGTTATAAGACGGTACCAAGTCTATGTATACGAAACCATTTAAAGAACCAAATTAATAGGAACGTCCTGGATTGACCATCGGTTGGTCACCTTTTTGTTAACCAAATAACGTTGTACCAACCAATTTACATGTGCCATTTTGTGTGTTGATAAGTGAACCATTTGATCGTCTTAATAAATGTTATAAACTTTTAACAAGTGTTATTCCTAACAAACATTATTTAAAGTGACCAAAAATTGGTTATTACGTCAACCAAAGAAGTGACCAAAAGTTGGTCATTACGTCAACAAAATAAGTGACCAAAAATTAGCCATTACGTCAACCAAATAAGTGACCAAAAGTTGGTCATTGACCATAACATAAAATGAGACCAACGTTACCATCAAATCTACACCAGGGACCAGAAAACCAATAGCAGCCCACAAGTGTATTACACGATACCCTCGGTTTCGTTACATTGGTGGCAGCGGTGGGATCCGTTATTCTGTGAAGCGTGAACCTAAACCATTACAAAGATGTCGAGGAACAAAAAATTGGTTGAGGAAATAACCAAAATACAGAACCAAAAGAATTACAGTTTATCGACTGTACTCCGAGCAAAGAAGTTCTTTTGCGGGTTGATAACAACGACAAGATAAGAGACGGCAGCGCAATCAACACATGTACCAACGACAGTCTACACATAATTCTACAAGAATTTAAACTCTGAAGTCCCAAATGAACCAATTACAATCTCAATTGAGACCAGTGAGTACTAATGACCAATATGTAGACCAAAATTGCGTGCAGTCCGGTACGAGAACTACGTCTGAAGATGACCAAATACCCAGTGAGCATCGACCATACAGAAATACACCTCTACAAAATTTATGTGAAAAATTTTGGTATCATGAATCTTCAAGGACAAGTTGGTCAAACCCGACGCAACCACGAAGTTACACTACCAATAATGGGACCAACGAATTTCAGCCGACCATGCGCAGCTTCGATTACTATGTACCAAATTATGGTCACACAAGACAAGCCCATGACCACGGATTCAGGCGTACCACGGAACCTAAAGGGAGAAAAACAGCAACATTCGATGGTACCATGAACTGGAACGACTACATAGTTCACTTCGACATGATCGCCTAATTGAACCACTTGAATGAGGAAACAAAAGCATTAGAGTTAGCTACCAGTCTACGCGGCCCGGCTTTAAGCGTTTTGAGTGACCTACAGCCAGAATATCGGTGTAATTTTCGTCACCTTGTTACCGCACAAGCAGCAAGATTTGACCCAGAAAACCAAACAGAAATCTACAAGACACAACTAAAGAACAGAATACGGAAGAAAAACGAAACAATCACAGAATTAATGCAAGACATAAAGCGACTCACGAGGATGTAAAACCCGAACGCACCCCTAGGTTTCCGTGCCCAGATAACCAAAGATTCGTTCATCGGAAGTTTAAATGACCAAGAAATGGAATGGACAGTGCTCAAGGGAAACCTAAAGACCTAGAAGATGCAGTGCGACTGGCATTGGAATACGAGGCCTTTCAACAAGCACGGGAGAGACGAAATAAAGATGCAGTGCGAATGCAGACAGAGGAACCAGCGTATACCGACAGAAATAATTATGAAACAGACCTAGTAGCGATGATCCGCCAAAATACAGAAAAGAGGTTTTACAAGAAAGGTCCCTGTTTTTATTGTAAGAAAGATGGTCACATCAAAAGAGAATGCAGATTACTACAACGACATTTCAAAAAAAAAAAAAAAACAGAAACCAACGAAAACCAGAATACGTAAAAGACGTGACGACCAGAAAACCAGGGAAACGCGCAGTAGTTGACGTCAGCGGCCTAACGTCAACTACAAAACAGAAAAGGCCACATGTTCTTGGAGTAAAGAACTCAAATACTCGCAGTACCAACTTATTTACAATTGATGTGTTTGTTAACAATGTGAAAATCAATTGTGTCAATTTGACACTGGCTTAGTTATAACAGTTATCCACCAAAAGAAATATTACGAGATAGAAAGATGTGTGAGACCTAATTTATTTCCAAACCGTAGTAACTTACAGATGGCAAACGGTGATTTAGTTGTACCAGAAGGTCAGACTTAATGGGAAGTTACGGAACATAAAGTGGTCGTCGCTGAAGTTGAGTCACATATGATTTTAGGTCTTGATTTTCTTAAACAGCACAACTGTCAACTGTCAATTGAACTTGGGTGAGGGAACTCTTACATTAGGGAACAACAAGTTACCTAATTACCTTAATAGTGAACAAAGTCCTGTGTTCAACATTTGCGTACAAGAAGCTTTACACCATGATAATGATGACCGACGACTACCTCGTGAACCTCGTGACGAGAAGGAGACAAACGACGCTGAGAAGCATATCAGAGACTGTACCGTTGGTGACTCAAAGAAGAATCAATCATGGGAAGTCAGAGGAAAACCTGGTAAATGTTTAGCTAGGGAACCACTGGAACAAGTGGACATCGGCATCCTTGGTCCTATACCACAGAACAAGAAGGTTAACAAGGACGTTGTTACCAGTTCAGATTATGCACCCGATGGAAACAAACTACCAAGAACCAGAAACAAAAGTATGGCACTAAGTCAAACCAGATTCAGTACACCCAGGGCAGTATGTATAGATCGCATCAAAGGCAAGGACCAAAAGAAGATGTCCTAAAGTTCAGGTTCATTGGAATGGACTTTACACAGTGTAACGTGCCGTGTCCGATTCGGTATACAAAGAGAGAGAGTCTGCAGCCGAGAAACCAAAATATGTGCATCGTGACCAGATAAAGCTGTTTCGTGGTGAAGCACATGACATTATATCAGTGTAACGCGTATCTCGAAAGACATAACCAGTGGACTTGTATACGTCATTGATAAAATACCCCGAAACGAGGACGTTTCGACTTAAGAAGGGGGTAATGTTACGTTTTACGAAGTGTACCTGTGAAATTCGGGTCTTGTTTACAAGTTTGGACATTGAACCCAATGTTTATAAACTATGTAAATATTTGTCAATGAACAGTTAACGAAAGAAATGAACAATAATTGATTTAATTACATCCAAATAAGTGACCAGACCAAAAGTTGGTCATTACGTCAACCAGATAAGTGACCAAAAGTTGGTCTTTGACCATCGACCAGTTACCAGAAAACCAATAGCGGCCCACAAGTTTATTACACGATATCCTCGGTTTCGTTACAATATTTTCGTTCTATCTTTGCAATTGTGAGTATAATAAAAACCCTCTCTCGCTCGTAAAATAAATTCAAACTACAAGGAACTATAATCTTCTATGCTATTTTATTTATAAGTTCCAGTTATGATGAATTAGATAAGATACGTTCGACTTTTAGTTTTGTAAGTACGAGGTCAAATAATTATAGCTAGATAGTCTGATGGATAAAGAGAAAATGACAGCAGTACTGAACATAAAAAAAAAATTAACAAAAGAAAGTAAAAAGGGTGAGACAAGAAGTCAGAATTATATCTTTCTTATGAGCTATCTACAAGAATTCACTGAATACAATATACATGTATATATCCTTTGAAAAATGTAAGTAAATAATATAAGTTAGAAACTTCAACGCATATATTGCAATTTAGGAGAACAAAGATAGATACATTTTCACATAGATAAAAAAAGAAAAATAGAAGTCAAAGTGAAATTAAAAATATATGTGCTGTATTAAATATCATAGGAATATTAAACAATCAACTGCGTGAACTTTGACCTTTCAGCGCCGGAGTTGGCAGAACGGGAACATATATTGGTCTGAATGTGTTACTACAACAAGGGAGAGAAACGGGGCGGATCAACGTTTTTGATTTCGTGAAGCAAATGAGAGAGGACCGAATGTCCATGGTTCAAACAGTTGTAAGATTACATCACGTGTTTAAAAATATACATATAATATATATGATAATTAATTTTTGTCAATTTTGCTCGCTAAAAAATCTTTTTTTCTGCTCATCATATTAACATCATCAGTATTTCTTAACAGGAGCAATATGTGTTCTTACATAAAGCCATCCTTTGTGGATATCAAGATATAGATACTGTGATATCTGAACATGACCTTCAAGCAAAAGTATCCACCCTTTTGAATGATGCCTCGCCTTTTAATCAACAACAACTGAACAAGGAGTTTCAGGTTAGATGATTGACCAGTTTGTATGACCTAAACCCTTATCGTTCAAAGCGACCACTCGTTTGCCCAGCCTGTTTGTTTTTGCGTTATGCACCTGTATTCTACATTTGAATGCTTTTCAGCTGTTAGAGGCTTTGAAACCTGTTTTTGATATTGAGACCAACGAAGATGCTGCAAAACCTGCGAAACAAACCAAAAATGTGGATTTGGATATTTTACCAGGTAGAATTTGCTCACAATATCACCTGCACTTATTATACTTATTATGCTCATTCAATTGAATACTTTTGAACACAGAATTACATTTCAGCATCAAAATACCGACCCTACTTAACAACCTATGTAAAAGGAAGAAATGACTATATAAATGCAGTCTTCATTTCTGTAAGTGTCATCGTTTCGACTTGAAAATACGAGAACCAACTTAACTCTTAAAGTACATTTTTACATTCATTTGAGAAGTAAACGTCACTTCTAATTTATTTTGTTTTAATGCAATCTTTTCTTTTAGAAAATCAAAAGTATTAAAACAAATCTAATTTTAAAGGAATATTTTACATTTTTGAACATTGAAATGATATACTATAAGAAAAAATCACAGACAATATTCAATGAAAATTTAACTTTCAGACATTTACGAATCCACTAGGATTTATTGTTACCCACAATCCTCTTCCTGATACTGAGGTAGATGTATGGAGATTGTGTAAGGACCATGACGTGGAATCAATGGTGGTTCTGTATGACGACAATATGGTATATCACGTTTTATTTGGTATAAATCAAAAGTTTTTTTTCTTTATTGCTATAAAATACATTTTAAACAGACCCTCTAGCTTTGTAAAACAGTTCCAATGCAGTTGTCTTTTTCTAAATATATTTTCAGCTACCTGTATACTGACTATTTAAAAAAATCATATTTCTGCAGTGAATCTTAATGAAAAGATTATAAAGAATACTTATAAAATCTTATTAACCAAGGGATCTAACTGGCTGCCCAATGGAGGAGAAAAGCTACAGTGTAAACCCTTTACCATAAGTACTAAAAACAAGGGGTTTGACAATGACGGTATCCAACAAGATCGTCTTCTTATATCAACAGATGTAAGTCGATTATGCTGCTAAAACTTCAGATAGTTTGTGTCTTCGTTTTTCATTAATTATTTAGAAATTGTATTTTGGTTTCTTTAACAAAAATACACTTTCCATTAAAAATTTATAAAACTTCATTTTGTTTTATGAACCAAGGATTGCAAATCGTATATTGACATCTTTCGAATTCCCTCTGAAAATAATGCCGCTTTACTGAAAGTAGCAAAAATGCTTCAAGAAAAAGAAAATGCATCAACGTCACTTGTCATAAGCAGGTAAAATCCATAGCAACATATCTGTTAAAATTATTTTCTTGATAAAATAGAAGAAACTAATGTTCATAAAAAAACATTTTTTTTATTTTAATAATGCTTCCCAAACGACGCATGAACATTTTATCAATAACTCATTTCTATTCTAAAGCAATGGTGCTGGACCAGCGGGGGTGTTCTGTGTTTTACATAACGCCCTTCAACAGCTTCGTATGGACGGAGAGGTGGACATATTTACAAGAGTCCGACAGATTCAGACAAGGCGACCAGAAGTCATCACAACGCTTGTAAGTTTTGATTAAATAGGTTTGTAATTAACAACTTTTAATTGTAATACACATTGACAGTCTTTTTGAAATAGTCATTTGTAAATTCTGAGAAAGAATTCGATTAAAAATATTCATGAAGTTATAATTGCTCACTGTTGTAATTCATGCATAATTCATTTTCTTTTCTTGTTCGTATATATTCTAAAGAAAAATTAATCATTTCTCATTAAAACATTGTACTGCTTTCATTTAACACCTTTAGAACGTTTTTTTTTTTTTTACTTTACAAACTATCCTTTCTCGTTTTGAAAGAAAACTTGCAAATTTTATTTTTTTATTTTATCCTACTGTCATTTTATATTTTGTCCTGTGATAACTTGTTATAATATATCATAATATGTATCTTCTAATACATTCAGTATACATTACTTTAATATAGATGAATTATAATTCTATTATATGATAGGTATTTTGCAGTATCTTTCCATTTTAGGTAGTTAATATGTTTGCAATGTTGAATTGTGTGAGATATATGATAAGCGTTAACTCTTCTTGCCCTTCATTGTATTTCAGGAAGAGTACCGGAGGTGTTACCAGTTACTTGTTGGACCCGTTTCATCGGAGGGAATATATGCAAATGTTTGAGACATACTCAATGGAGTCTCCTTCAATTTAAACAATAAAGAGTTCGTTCTTCCATTATAATTGAAGAGATTATATGAAGGATCTACTTGCATAAATTTATTTATCAAAATTATATAATTCTTATTATTAAGTGAAGTTCAGTTACTATAACGATTATTTAAAAACTTTGTAATTGAAATATGTGTATGTCTTTTCATTATATTTTGAAATAACTTCTTTACTTTAACGATATTTCTTTATACTCAACATTTAATTTAAATTCATTTTTTTTTTTAAAAATCTCTGTTCGACTATATTTGTGATTTTAGAAATATCATCATAATTTTACTCTATTTGTAAAGGAGTATTTTTGAATTGACCTATGTTCGGTTTTAGCAAATATAGATTTGATTTGTTTTGACGAGTAGTATAATTAAGTAGACGCGTTATTCAATTTGTCTGCACACACCGTTAGAGTTATGATACTATATCTTTCAAAATATAGTAATTCATTGCTTAAATGTAAAACAGGAAAGAAGATAAATTTCAAAAGAGCAATAATAGACACACTTACTTAAGGTCAGACGACACACTCCTCAATAATATTAAATTTTTCCTAAGAATTAATTATTGAAGTCTAGGTACTTGAACAGGTTTCCTAAGAAAAAATTAGGATACCTTACCACAAGGGAATGTTTCTTATATTTCTTATATATCCCATATGGGTTATCACCTGAATGCATGGCCTATATCACAATTTTTGATGCACTTATATTTAAATACATATTGAAAAAAACAATGTAGAAACTACAGGAGAATGACAAATATGCATATTTTTTTTGTAAAATACCAAGAGATACAAAAGATATATGTAAGGAACGTGTCGTATTTGCCGAACTAATTACTAAAAACATCCCAAGTCATATGTGCATCCGTTGAATTTCATGGAAATAGAATGTATGTGGGAGAAATCATTTGTGTAAAGGCATAAGGGATGTTTGTGACAAAAAATAAATTAATTAAAATAAAATTAAATGTTTAAGGACTTCAGGACTTACATGTCCTTGACATGAATTTCTCTTCAAAGAAACGTGTACATGTTAAATTTTAAAGTACTTAGAGTTTTCTGTTCTTTTGTTGTTTCTTTTTTCATGAAAAAAAAATCCAGGCTATTGTATATGTGCGATATAATTATGATTAATCATGGTCAAGAAGATTAATATGAAAGAAAAGTATAAATTTATGTTTTATTCACATCCATTTTGATAATATTATAATAAAAGGCCAGGATGTTTAAACCATGTAGACTTGTTCTATCTCGGTGAACTCGAGCAAAAATATCAGACTCCAAAACATATGTTATATTGTTGTACTTTTATTTTAATATATCGGCAATGATGACCAACTAACAATACAATTAAATATATGTATATGAGAGATTGTCCAGCTTTTTCGACATTTTTTTCTTACATGTAATTGTTTCGGTTATATATTATATGTTTTGTTACAGAATTCACCGGGTATTACTTGTATTCTATACATGTACATTGTAAATAAAAGTGCTATAAATATGCAATCAAATAAATAATACCTCTCTTCCATTGTGATCATAATGGAAAAGACAATGTCTTGCTCTGGTAAACTCATAAACTCGCTATAAGTGTCAAATCAAAAAGTAAAATAGGAGGTACAAAATAACATTAAGCGTATCAATAAATTTTATTCAGTGGTATACATGTAGGGGGAGCTTGGGATAAAAGATGGGAACACTTCAATATTACAGAAAAAAATAGCAGTATCCATGTTTTGCTAATGAAAAACCTGAATAACGTTTCTTCTCTGAAAGTAAAATAGAAGGTGCACAATAGCACTCTGTGAAAGTCTCATAAAATTTTCAATTAGTCAGTGGTATAAGAGGAGGTACGGATAAAAGATAAAAGCGAAACAGATGGACGAACGGAAAATGCAGAAATTATATAATTTATGTTATAAATGAAGGGCAAATTGGACGTGAATGGTCTATGAAATGTTGTTATCAAAAGCGTGAAATGTATAATAACGACAAGACTCCTATAAAATCCGCCAATTGCAATGTACTGTCGGTTTGATATCTTAACATCTGGACAAAATAAATAGGAAAAAACAACTTTCCAGAGGCTATCGAAGTCCAACTTGCCCTTCATTGAAAAACATACATTGTTTAATTCTGCATTAAATGCTGATGTCTTTCACTAAATGTACGGAATTGGTTAGGTGTATTTCCGAAAAAAAAAAAAGAATTTTTTAAAAGAATTTTTCACAATTAATATTTCTTTAAACATGTTAAACGTAATTATTATCAAAAGATATTCTCTATCTGTTAATCAATGATATATATTTTTATAAAATGTGAAAGTTTTATTTTTATAGACCACATAGTTCTGGAGCTATTGTAAAAATAAATTTTTGAACAAGTTGACCTTTGGTGAAACCTTAAGCGCAGTCATCCTTTCCGCTTAATTCATACATCAAAACACTTTTCTTTATGAATTTAATGAATTTCTCGTTAATAAAAATTCAGTGTTGATTAATTTTTTTATTTCCTTTTAAATTAAATTTATAACAAATGTACATGAGACCTTGAGGCCAGTTTTGCATTCGTACAAAAGTATATATAGTAAATTAAACTCCTTTCTTCAAACAAAGCATCCCAAATCCTTAAAAATATTTTAACTATTTTATCAATTGAATATAACAGTATTCCTGCATCACAACAATAATTCAATTTAAATTTTATAAAATACAATTCAATTTTAAGAACAAGAAAACTAATATTTACAAATATTTCCTGCCCTTAAGCACATGATGCACTTTCGGTTACTTTACTGTCAGTTGATGACTTCATGTCATGTACATGGAACTCTCCATTGTATGCAATCATGTAACATTTTTTGATTGTTTTTGTTAATCTTAATGTAATACGGGGCAATTTATGTTCTCTACAACAGTTATTTATGAAAGGTCTAACTGAGGATATGGATATTTCCCCTGATTTTTCTAGCCACATATACATTATGTTTCCTGTAGAATCCAGATGAAGACCATATGTATAACATAAATTAGTACTTCTGTAAGTCCAGATGATAGTTCCTTCTTGTGAAAGCAACTTAACGCAATTAGAATAGGTACAACTGTAAATAATGTCACCTTTATAATTCGGACCCAAATGAAGACAACGTACGTTACATCAGTAGTCGAACGGATATAGGAGGGAGGTCCATAAATATAATGATATGACTCAAAAAGAATACCGGCCGACAACATACTCATCAATGAAAATATGGTTTTGTTTAAAATATGGTTTGTGCTGAAGGAAAATTTCTTGGATTTGAAAACGACTAATCGTCAGCAGTTTTTCTTCATGTTCTGAAGCCATTCATGAAAATACACTGTACAATAATCTTTAGACAACTTTTACACATCTCTAAGAAGGATGAAAAAGATAAAAGCATAGGAAAGTAAAAGTCACTTTTTGCCATAACTATATACCGTTTTTTTTATGTTTTTTTGTTCTTTTTCATTGTTTGTAAAGTTTTATCCGGCAATGAGCACATTTAACCCCCTTCCCCACAGTCACGCATTTTAACGCATATATCATTTCCTATTTCTAAAGCAAAATCAAGCATATACCATTTCCCCGCAATCACGCATTTTCACACTCTGTAATTGTGAAAACCTCTTTCTGAGAGCCTGACGAGTTAAAAGGCCCGGAACATCAATCAATATAGATGTAGAGGAAAATAAGAGGTAAATTCCATTATTTATTTGCATGAATACTGTTCATTTTCTCCATATCATTCTTGCATGTATTGATTCGTACATTAGGAATAATACAATCGCATGTTTCTTCAATTTTTTGCAAAAATATTTAAGGAATCACTGACTAGTTTTGAGAGTATGCCAGGGCATCAACAATAGTGGGAAACATGGGATAATTTGCATAACGGGCGCCCGTAAAAATTATACCATGTTTCCCACTATTGTTGATGTCCCTGGCATACTCTCAAAACTAGACAGTGATTCCTTATATTTCCATTTCATTGTGAAATAAGTTGTAGACTTAGACATTAAGAATGTAGACTAATCGATTGAAATTACACGAGGACTGCCATGCCAATTTCAATAGTCCTCGCACACTGACGTCAAACACAAAGGTAGCCGCACGAGATTTACATGCATATTAGGCCACCTTAGCTGCTGACCTATCGACCTGCCTAATTTACATTCCGGCAGAATTATCAGGAAATCAACTCCGCTTACTTTCAAAGGGTTATTATAGAGAAAAAATTTAGAAATGGAAATTAATATTTAAAAGTTTGACAATAAATATTTTTAAAAAACATAAAACATCAACTGGTAAAACTATATTTTTTTTATTTAGACTATATTTGAGAAAGTTCACCCTTGATTTATATGACACTGTCGTTTTTTCAAAATATCTCAAGTTTATAATATCCTCTCCAAACAGTTCCAACAGTTCATAAAGATTAAATAGAAACAGTAGTGTAAGAAAAATCAAAAAAAGTTTTCATCAATAGAAATTATGACTGGGCGTCATGCCTCTTCCTTTTCTCTACCTCCAATCGATGGCTTCATGTCATAAACCCTCAAATGTCCAGTGTATGCAATCACAAAACATTTTTGTTTGCTTTCGTTAATCTTTATAAAAAATGGAGAGAATATGTTTTCTACGATAGTTACTGATGAAAAGTCTTTACTAAGGATATGAATATTTTGACTGAATTTGCCAGCCACATAAATGTTGCCTGCGGAATCTGTGTCAAGTCCATAAGGAGCATTTAAATTTGTACTTCTGTAGGTCCAAAGTACATCCCCTTCTTGTGACAGCGCTTTGACGCAATGAGAGTCGGTACTACTGCTGTAAATGATATGGCCATCTTTATTCACAATTAAATTACAAACGTAATTTTCAGTCCAAAAATTTCGCAATATATTTCCTTGATGATCGAATTCAATGATGGAAGAGTAACATGCAGCATACAGATTGTCTCTAAAGCTCGCTAAACCGTCGCACCTCTCACCAATATGAATAGTTCTTAATATTTTGAAATCCTCTAATGACAGCACTTGTATGGATTTGTCGTTAGGACAACTGACAAATAATTCTTCTCCTTTTAAAAGAATGTCACGAGGACAGTAACCAATGTCAATTTTCTTTAAGAAGTTGAAGTCGTTGCTGAAAAGATAGCATTCCGTACCACAATACCCAGCCACTATGATGTTACCGTTTGGTAAAAAAGTCCCATCGTTAAGTTCATAGTGTTCTTTTCTGTGAACTTCTGGATAATCTACGTCTTTAATCATTAGATCAAATTCACCTAATTTGTCCCGTCTCCTGATTTCCCAGAAACATGCATTGGTATACTTCCCAACAGAAATTGACAAGCTAGCCAACGAATCAAGTATTTCACTACGTTTCAGTGAGAATTCTGTTTTAATTTCCATTGCGGGTGCATTTGTTTTCTTTATATATTCATGTATCTTGTTAGATTGCTTCAACCTTATCAACGTGTCTCGGTCTATATCCTTCCTTTCCATTTCCTTCAGAAGAGAAATTAAATGATTCTCACAAATGATTTTTTCAGAAAGTGAAGTTATATATTTCTGCAATTCCATTTTTTTCTCTGCGATGATTTTATTTAAGCAACTTAAATCATTTTCTTCAATTTTATTTAGTTCCTGTTCAACTTCCATTCGAAATTCTTTGAACTTAGCTGACACTGTCTCGGGTAGATTTTCTAACTTTTTAATTTTGGCTTCCTCTTTTTTCTTGACAGAGGTTAGATGTTGTTCATGTTTTTCAACATTTTTGTGCAAAGTATCTATCAATCGTTGTGTGTCCTTTTCCAAACTCTCCAGTGCCTCTTCTATACTGCAAACATTTTCACATTTTTTATGATCAAGTCCACAACACAACCCACAACAGAAAACCCCATGATTATCACAGTAGAGTTCCACTGGTCTGCCGATATGTTTTGGACATGTATTAGATTCTAAAAGCTGTGAGCCGTTCTGAAATTGAAGCTCCTTTAATGAACAGATCTTATGATCCCGAGTTGTCAATCCTTTTCTGTGACACTTTGAGCATGTTTTACAGAGTTCTTCATTACAGGCCAAACAGTAGTCTATCGCCTCTACTTCTTCATTATCTCTCATACAGGCAGCGCAATGTTTCTGTTCTGGCGAAACGACCAGTTTCATCAAAATGGTATTAACAGGATAAAGACCTGCCCATCTTTCGGGAGTTTCAAACTCGCCGTTACTTGGAATGAATACCTGACATACTGGACAATTAAAACCTACAGGGGACTCCTTAGATTCACAACAGTCCACAATATGTGACGATAAACAATCGTGACAAAATGAATGTGAACAGGGAAGATATCTTGGAGATTTGTACTTCCCGCTTTTGTCAATATTGGGAGGATCCGATGAAGCCATGATAATGAGTCTTATGATACTTCCTCTTTCGTTCCCTCCCACCACGTGATATTGATCTCGGTTATAAAGTAAGATATGAGATAGCGATCCCGATCATGAAAAGATATAAATATTGCTGTTTCTACCCCGTTGAAAGTAGGGAATATTACTTTCAGTCTAACTTTAGTAGCATTCCGTCTGTCTGTATATATGTCTGTCTGTAGCATTTTAGTTTCCATACGATGTCTCGAGAGGCCTTTGGGCTTTTGCAATGACATTTTACACGACCCTGTGGTCTAAGGATGGCTCCTTAGCCGAAGGAAGGCTCATTTTGTTCTTGAGGTCTTGTTCAATATGGTCAAAGGTTAAGGACAAAAAATCAAACATTTTGTCTGTTTTAACACTCTTTTGATATCTCTAGAAGCCTTAGCTTTGAGATATTGCAATAACATTTTATTCAAAATCTTCCCATGGCGAAATGAAGACACCTCAAACTCAGTATTTTTGGGATCAATGGTCAAGGTCGGGAAATACTACTAACGAAAAAAAAATCCGTCGCAATTCAGTGTGTAAATAATAACTTAACAATTAGTGTGAAAAACGTCAGTCAGCATGCATTTGACTCAATGTAATTTGATGACAAGGTAATGTATATCGAGTATAGAATTGACGAAAAGATTACTTTAAATGATACTATCAAATGTTCTTGTTTCATCAACTTATTTGTCAACAATTTATTTCGTTTTAAAGATTTGCATACGTAGAACATGCTCGTGCGTATCAAATTAATTTGGAGCTTTACGAGGGTTGTCCCAAAAAGTCGTAGACAGGGAAAATAGCTTAGTTTCTCTTTGCTTGATTAAATTTCTTTTCTTGTCATAGCAAAAAGTAACATTTTATGATCATGCATTTCAAGTATTACCATGATATCACATCTAATAAGAAAATTATGTCAAAATAAAGAAAAAATGTTAGTGTACACCGGCGCACGAAAGCAAGCGTAAATTACGTCATCATCTCTTTGTCTGCTTCACTCGCGTCTACGTATTAATATTCAATATTATTTTTAGTGATAGACTACTCTTGAATTATGAAGGGACTTATTTAAATTCACTACTGTCCGTTTGTTTTTTATTTGCTTTTTTTTAAGCAGGTTCAAATTTCAGTCGAAATTTAGTCAAAACTGAAAAGATTGCCTTACATTGTAGACAGCAGAGAATACACATATTACTATGAAAGATATATATTTAAAAATTCATAATTTTAAAGAACATTGAATATATTATATCTATGCAAAATAAGGTTAGTATTGGTTGCATGTTTAAAAAATTATAAACTTTGTCTACGACTTTTTGGGACAACCCTCGTAACTGAACCCCGTATGCAGGTGATGAAAGTAAATGTATATTGCTGCATAAGTAAGGGAAGTTGACGATTGAAAAAAATAGTCATATGTAACGTTTATCTTAAAGATTAGTGGTGGAATTACAATTAACGTTTTTGTTTTTCAAGTAAAAATATTCAAATATGAAACATATGTGTCAGATAATTTGGTATCTTTTATCTCAAGCTCAAAGGGATATATCGTATCGACATAAGAAGGATATACCTATTGTTAATTGACAGTACGTCGTCGATATATCTAAATGTCGAGTTGAAGGTCACAACAAAGATAACGTTTTCTTCTTTTCACGTTTCAGATTTTGGACAAATTCTGATTCATATGAATACAAAAATGGTCTGCTAATAACGGGGTGCAATTGGTACCCACGGGAATTCCAAAAACCGTAAATACATGTATATAAATATTGTCAATCAGAAACTCATGCTTTTTTGACGTAAACGTCAGAGTACTTGTGCGTGCAATCAGATTTATTTATTTATTTTATTTTTATCTTATTTTATTTAGATTTTATTTAAAGTCGGCATTGTATACATACATAACAATAAACATGAGCTCTGTAGAGCTCTTAAACCGACTATCACAGTTTAAAATATCACAGAAAGACGTTTACACATAAATTATCATGCAAAAACACATGTACATATATACACACATACAAAAATTATGACAGATAAAATGAATTTTAAGAATTTAACAAATTTTAAGAATTTATAGTTTCTTTAGAATAAGCTAAAGAAAAATAGACAACTTGAAAAGCAATATGATTTCATTAAGAGAAACAAAAATAAATATAACGTGAGTATTATAAATAAATAAATAAAAGTCATATGATAGTACATGTAATAAAATTAAGCACTAAGTTTAATTCCTAAATTCAGATAAAAATAACTAATTGTATTATTAATAATATTAAAAATAAATAAATAAATAAAAACCCGATAGTTGAATAAATTTGAAAGTTTAGGAAATTTAAAATTCACACAGACATAGCTAAACCAAATTGAGAACGAAGGAAAGAATAAAAAAAAAATAAATAAGTAATAATAATAATAATTTTAAAGTAATTTATGTGCCTCATCAATACACATCCTGCCTAGTGATTGGGTCAGTCCCTACCTACATAGGCAAGATATGCATATTGTGAGGTTATAGGAAAAAAGAATAATAAAGGAGATAGGTGATATCATTAGAGAAAATGAAAGATTTCAAAAAATAAATGAAAAATTAAGTGTTTCTAAACATTGTCTCATCAGCTATGCAGCCCTACGCTGTGGTTTCTGCAGGAACTGCATTTGCATTTTTCCCACGTCCATGTCTCTATGAAAGTTTTAAATCGGCTGAGGGTGGAAAGTTCCCTAGCATGATTTGGTAGAGAATTCCACAGCGTAGCAGCTGCATAGCTGAATGACTGTTTTCCATACCTAGTGGTTCTTGGCCTAGGTAATTCCAGGGTCTTTTGATATCTAAAATTGTATGTTGAATTTCGCTGTTTAACTAAATCTTGCAGGAACATTGGGCATTGATTGTTTATAATTTTGAAAACTTCAATATTAATATTTTCAACAAAATAATTTTGCAAATGATTAATAACAAGATAAGTGGATATAATTATGGACAAGTTCCATTTTCATTGAAAAAGCTGATGTCGAAGATATCACCAAGCCTGGACTTAGTTTATCATGGGGAATCGTTGTCAACAGCAATGTAAAGTTCCTGATGTTATTTATTTCTTAACCAATGAGAATCTATTTAGCCAATTGACAGACGCTAATTACGCAGGCACGTAACAATAGAGGGGGCCAAGGGGCGGGGGCTGCCCCCTTTTTTCCCAACATTACCTTTACTATTGGAAATGTCCATTGAAAGGTTGGTTGCCTGCCTCCCCCCTCCCCCCACACTACTTACCATAGTATAGTGATATCAAGGAAATGTAGTAATGTATAAAAAAAATGGAAGTAAAAGGAAGTTGGCCTTGAAAAACTTACCCCCCCCAAACACGAAATAGGATTTTGGGCAATTTCCCTATCTTTTTGCTTGTCAACTTTTACAAGTAACTAAAAAAAATTCTTTGATTGCCCCCCCCCCCACTTTCAAAAACGATGCTACGTGCCTGTTACGTAGCTCCGAGAATGCCACACTTTTATACTGAAAGTCCAAACTATTAAACCTGGAATATTGTGGAAATGGTTCTAAGTATCCACATATGATTAATTTTACACCACTTCTCGAATATATTGTCCCACAGTACTCTTGGTTTAAATTGCATTACATCCGTATGGTAGGGAAAGGTTGTCAATGGAACTTTTGAAAGGGTGAGAAAGTGGCCTTTATATTCTACAGGTGTTTTCCTCGTGAAAGACCTTTCTTTGGGCAAGCTCCAAACAGCTGGTATTACGTTACTCTACAACTTCATATTGCAGTGGCCATGCAGTCGCTTACCACTTTAATTTGTTAAAAATTTTTAATCCTTTTTTCGACCATGTAAAGCACATAGACGGAGTCTTTATGTAGATAGTTATTTAGATCAATTCAATAAAAATTTATTTGAATTTAAAATTCCGCGCGCACCTGTCACAAAGTTTGGATGTAGCCAAGTGACGACAATACCACGTGTTTAATCCCTGGCCAATATGGCGGCCTTGTGTATTGACGAAAAATATCAATTGTATGGCGAATGAATGTGTTTACTCGATCGAAGGAAGATAATGGCTACAGGTTTTTGTTTTAATTGTGAGTGTTTACTCAATGTTTAACAAGGCACAGGCCATAACAAAAGAACACAGTCAATAACTGCTAAAATCGGCTGCATTATCAGATTATAGGTTTGCTGGACCGTTTGTGTACACAAACTATAACGGAATAGCGGGGGTAATATTGTGTGCGTTATGGATTAATTAATGTTTGCACAGATCCCAATTCATATCAATTTTAACATCAATACAGTTTGATGTATCGCTTTGACTGCTCGTTATGATAGTGCCATTTAAAATCCGGGCATATAAAGAGGGGGAGGGTTGTGTAATATTATAATTATTGATAAACACATGATTAACAGGCCGATAGAAAACAGGCCATGGGGAATATTTGTTGGATCTGCTAAAATTTATATACTTTTTACATCATTAAAAGTTTTGAAAGAGTGAATTGAAGCTACAACCCCCCTCTTTCCCAAAATAATTTTGATTTCACTTTGATGTCAGATATGTTCACGATGCACAGTATTAGGCTACATGAAACTATAACGATTCAAAATGTCTTCTTTAGGCCTATACATGAACACAAATTGTGTATTATATTTCATACCCAGGGTTCGACACTAACATTTTTAGGCTTTGGTCCGGCCGGACTAGTGCTTATTTACTTTTACTAGTCCGCGGGCAATTTTATGAGTCCTTCAAAAATAAAAATAATTAAATAGAATTAATGTTGCAATGTACTTATAATTTTTCGAAATAAACAAAGCATTTACATGAAATGTTTATACCAAGAATTCGTTGAAATCGCACAATCAGGAACTACGATCGTATTCCCGATCTCATTCGCTTTTCTCTATACATGATTTCATCATCTAAACATCCGACATCTTTCTAATTATGTGTCATAATAAATCATGATTGCTAAAATGTTTAAGTTCATTCAATGAGTTTAAAAATTAGGGCCGAATTGACTCAGAATTACCAAACTTCCCGCCAAGAAGCTACAAAGCTAAAAATAATTACGGGTTTTCCAGTGAAAGTTGACGAAAATTTGAACATTGGTAAATTCTTTTTTTTCCCATAAAACTTTATAAGTCCGTTCGGACTAATTACCTACAATTCTTATTAGTCCAAATGAAAAGATGTTAGTCTGAGACTAATGTTAAAGTTGAACCCTGATTCCTGCAGACAATTCCAATTTGCTTGATCTATGTTGAGTGCTTGTATCTAGATACCCAGTGGAATATACATGTTTGTTATACCTTTACAAATTAGTTCATATACAAATCTATACGAAAAAAAAGTCCAACATTTTTAATGTTTTGCTGAGCGGGCATGAAAAAATCGATGTTAGACTGCTGAGTGAGATGTTGGACTGCTTACGTCACAGAATGGGCGCAGCTTAATATTATTTTCATTCGTTGGTGTTAAACATTGACAGATCCTGATGTTACATCATGGAATACAGCACAAAATACATGTATTTCAAAAAAATTAAAATGAAAGGTATAACAAAACATTTATTGACAGAGTTCTCGGGCAAAATGCGTTTTGCCGGACTCTCGAACTAAACTGTCTGCCTTCGGCCTAACGGCCTCAGGCAGACAGTTTGGTTCTTGGGTCCGACAAAACCCATTTTGCCCTCGAACTCAGTCAATAAATGTATAATGTTGGGAAACAGTTCAAACTTCAGCTCAGTTTTGTTGAATTCAGAATTGTCCATCAAATTAAAAAAAGGGGGTATTATTAATCAGTCGTAAAAAGAAATAATATGTTACAATCTATCAATGGTGCTTGCATGCTATTGATAAAAAAAATGAATTTCGGAGCAGTACTTTGAACACAGGAGAATGAAAAAGCATTGTTAAAAAAAACAATAAGATCTATGGCCAAAATCATGAAAATGTTTTCAAAATGTTGAAATTCAAATTCACTGCAGTAACATGATTTATTTCTGAAGATTAAATGTAAAATTTGATATTTGCCTTTTATTTAAAAGAAATGTTTCTGTTTTTTTACATGTGTATAAGAATATATGAGTCAGAGCTCAATTCATTAATGCTGATTATAATAAATGTACAATAATTTGATGCTGTCAGTTTACCTTATGATTCTATTGTTGAAATAAAAAAAATCTTTTAAGGCATGCCTTACATGTAAGAATCAATCTAATCCTTCTTTTTCAGGGTGAGAAGGACAGTCTTTCAAGATGTCGATGAATTACGTGGGTAGCATCTCCATCTTGGATCGTGGAGATGCTCCCGCCCGCGCCATCATTGACAAAAACAAACGTTCCCTGGCCCAGCGCATCGCCGACGAGACCAAAGATGAACTGGAGAAGGTCATGCACAGGGTGGAGGATGTAAGTGTCAAAGGTCATAAGGTCAAGGACACATAGGCCCCGTAAAGTTATTCAATGTCAAACTGAAAACATGTACCAATCTGAATGCAGGCAAAATTAAAAAAAAGAAAAGAAAAAAAAATAATTGAAACAGATCCAAATTGCTGAATAATATGAATGATGGAAAGTAATTAACAAAGGTTGTTTTCTACATATGTATTAGACTTTTCATTTGTTTCACACAGATTTATGAGTCCTATGAACAGAGTACCCAGGATATGTTTTTGACACATGGTGCTAATGTGGAATACATAGAAGATATAGTAAGATTATGTTTTTGTTTTGTACTGTACATGGTGCTTATGTGGAATACATAGAAGCTATTTTAAGCTATATTTTTGTTCTGTACTGTATTATTTTGTGTATGACAAAAAAAATATAGAGGGGATCCTCTTTAAAGGTGTTGGATTCCTTTCTTGAACAGACTCTCCGATTAACTTCAGATAATAATAATCAAATGTAATTTTAACTGGTAACATTTGGAAAAAAAAATTATTATACTTGCATCCTCTTTTACAGAAAGAATTGGAGGAGATTCTGAATGATCAGCTTAAAAAGAAAAAGGTGAGCACTTCAAATATCAATGTTTAGGTTTGTGTAAAACTTTATTCTAAATGTAAGAAAGTAGTGTCACAAGTGTCTTATTCATAGCTTCCAACTAGCTTTGGGGTCCTGATTCAATCCCAATCAGTGCCAGGGAAATATCTCGGTTACATTTTGACAAAGAAAAATATGAATTCTTTGTCATTGTATTTTAATGATTTAATATAAAAATATTGTTATATAATGTAACAAACAGTGTTCTAATTTCATACAAGTTTGTCAAGTTAGGAGTTGTTTCTGTTTTATTTAGTATGAACAAAAGGTGACAGTTTTCATCGTTGGATTTGAGAATATGTCCAATCAAAGACTTCGTCTTATTCAGCAAGTCAATGAGGTATGTTCAATCAGAGACTGTGTCTTATACAGCAAGTCAGTGAGGTATGTCCAATCAGTGACTGTGTCTTATATAGCAAGTCAATGAGGTATGTCTAATCAGAGACTGCGACTCATATAGCAAGTCTCTGAGGCACTTATGTCAGTGTTCTAGCGAGGGGGGAAATGGAGGGACGCTTCACCCTCAAATCAGTGTGCCCCTCTGCCCCTAACAGGTACCCCTGTGTCCCTTGTTAGTGCCCTATGGCATTCTGACTGTCCTTTTCACTCAGTAGAATAACTAGTGTATGTATCTTTCAAATCAATAAGGTTAAATAAATTAATAATATTTGAATGAATTATTCATTATTATAAGGGTGAAGTAATTTGATATGCCTATGCAACAAAAACACTTGTGACAACGGTTTGTCATGAAAAAGTGCCCTTCTTTTGCAACCCTGCATTTTCAGATCCTGTATAAAAGATCATTTAGCAAGATAATGGGATGTGTCCAATCAGAGAAATTACCATTCATACTTCAATTCAATGATTTTTGATTCACAGTCTTCCAATGACAATGTTTTTAAAGAGCAAAAAATTTTTTTAAAAAAGTGCACAAAGAAGTCCACAATGGGCCCTTTTTATGTGCCATTTCACTTCAATATATATTTCCAAATATTGCTTATGAACATTTCCATGGTTATGACCTTGACCCTATTTTTTCAGTTCTTCATGGATTTGAAACAATTGAATATTTTGAGGAGCCCTATAAATCCTCGTCCCCCGATATCAACATCGATGTAAATCAAGTCCATCGAGGAAACCCTACTTGCCGACCTGATTGTGGATCATAGCTCGGGGAACTCAACTCACAGATGGTGGCCAAACCTGGCTTTAAAAATATGCCATCAACAAGGCCTCCTCTAAGTAAGACCAGAGTTATCTGCTCCTGAGTCTGAAAAATTGAAATGTTCATTTGACAAGTATATTTTGAAAAATTTAAGGATTGAGCTTTGAAAGTAGAGAGGATTTAATGCATGTATTAGGAATAGATTTCCCTGTTTTGATAATTTTTAGTGATTTAGGCAATATGAATACATTGTGTTTAAAAAGTTTATAGAAATTATTAAAGATTTGTTAGTTATATATTCCCCGAAATCAATTTCCTTTTAGAGAATATAGATTCCAATTTCGATATTTATTTCTAACAGTTTATTCATGTTAGGCATAGAAAAAAAATATGGTTGTTTCCGTTTGCCCCCACAAAAGTCAAATTTTGAATTTAAATGTGCTGAATTCAATAAATAATTAAGTTAATGCTTTTGTCCCATGATGTGCAAGATTTCATTTAGGGAATTATAGTCTCCAACTTTGCAAGCTTTTCAAGACCCAAAGAATTTTGGGTCACCTTTCTATTATCAGTTTAAGTCACAGAAATGCTTAAAAACACCATTTCTTTTGTCATTAATGTTAATTAATTCTGTACATGTTTTGATTTTTGATTAAAAAAGCAAAAAAAATTTTTTTCAAAAAAAAAAAAAATTTACGTTTTGTGACGTCTTACCTACATATGACCCATTACATTTTATTCAGTGCTTTGAAAGCATATACTCCCCTGAAACAAACATATATTTTTGATTTTGGGCCTTATAAATTATAGTTCTTTGCACAACGTTAGCCTCATAGTTAACAAAGGCTTTGATATAATATTTATTTAATTTAATAAAATTTTGTAAGTAGGATTTAATAATTTCTTAATGTTAATAATGTAATGCTTATACTTTTCAGATGAAAATCTTTCCATTTGATTGTTTAACATGTAAGTTGGGTCCCCCAGTCTGTGTTTCACTTCGAGTGTTTCTATCACAGTGTACACTGTATGGGTCACCCCCATGCATTACAGAGTGACTTTTCCCTCATTCTTTGATGAAAAGAAAATGAGTGATTCAGAACTTGCACAATTCTATGCAGTTTGCAGAGCTGCCATCAACAAAGCCTTACGATTTCTGCTCCTGAGTCTGATAAAAATTGAAATGTTAAATTGACTAGTAAATTTTGGAAAATTTTAAGAATTGACTTTTGAAAGTAGAGAGGATTTGATGCATGTGTTAGGAATAGATTTCCCTGTTTTGATAATTTTTTAGTGATCTAGGTAGTGTGAATACATTGTGTTTATAGAAATATTTAAAGATTTGTTAGTTATAGCTGGCAGCCTATATAGTTTCTACTATTTAATATATTACCATAAATTTTGATTCAATATCATAAATTCAGCATATTGTCCTAAGAGAATATTTAATCAATATTTGTTTAATTTTTTTTGTAAATTTAAATAGATAGAATTTAATTATCACATTGTATTATTTAATATAATGCCTGTACTTTTCAAGAACTATTTCCAATCTAGAAAACATGTAAGTTGGGCCCCCAGTCTGTGTTTCACTTTGAGTGTTTCTATCACAGAGTGTACACTGTATGGGTCACCCCCATGCATTACTATTTGTCATTTCAGAATGTTGGCAGCTCTGAGTTTGTGTCTTGTACTTAAAAGTCCTTATTTCTGTGAGAGCTTACTGACTAAGAATTTCAAACACTTTAAGAGTGTTGTTATAGACTGCACACAGAACTGAGCTGCTTTAAAATTGTAAATGTTAGAGGCTGACTTTGAGTCTTTAATTAACAACATTCACATATATCTGTGTTTTATTTAAAATTTTCCCTTTTCTGAAAAAGCAGCATTTTGATTGGATTAGGTATGCCATCATTTTTGTAACCAAGATTTTGATTTGTTGAATTTCCCATAATTTTCTCTAAGAAGCACTATGATTGGCCATGTTCATTCCCTGAGTGATAGTTTACTAATCAATAAAAGTGTTTTTACTTTGTAGATTGAAAGAGTAAGTAGACATTGATGTAAGGGGTGGTGCTACTAAAAATAGAAACAGGGGAAGCATGGTAAACATTATTCAACTAAAAGATTCAAATTAATAAGAAAATGTCTGTAATAATCTTAGTCCTTGAAAATGTGAGAAAAAAAGGGGGGGGGGGGGGAGGGTGTCAGTCTTGAGAAACAAATTGTCATTTTGATGTTCAATGTTATGAAGTTTTTTAAAATTATTATTTTAGTGAGAGGAAACACACACACACACAAAAATTAGCATGTTTATTGAAATATGTTTACAGTGAAAATGAAATTAATTAAGAAAATGATAAGGATTCATTTAATATCTTCATATTCCTTTTTTCCCATGCTTCCTCTGTTGATGTTTACATGAGAATTGGTGAAAGGTTGACAAGTCCAGTAGATTTGCAAGTCAGAGTAAAAAATTAGAATGGGATTTGAATTTTATTTTTACACAGAGAGAATATTTCATGCTGTTTTAAAATTATTCACATCAGTAGTTTTCTTCAACATTAATGAAAAGAGAGGACTATTTTTATAGAGCAATATAGTATCAGAGGGTGTGAAAAAAACTCACAGTTATAAGTAGTGTTTTTTGGTTTGTACAGTAACTTACTAATTAGTTAATTAATTAAGTTACGTGTAGTGTAGAGATTTATAAATAAAAATTCAAGTAGAGATTTTGCAACAATTGCATGGTTTTCATACAGTATCCATTTAATACTGTGATTTCTTATTGGAAATTAGTAGAAACTAACAACTTTAAATCAGACTTAGTAGTCTATGAGAACATTTATTTTATTTACTAAATTTTTTAAACTTTAAAAGTTAGTAATTTATGTCTTATAGTTTTAGATAATAGTTAAAATTATTCTCTCACTGAAGAAGTAGTGTTCTTTCAATAAGTATAATCACTAAGCTATGTAACATTAATTTTAAAGTTTATGATTATTTTAAAAAGAAATTTTATGTAATAGTATAAATGTATTGCTATTATGTATGGTAGTAAAACAAATTTATGCATAAATCCCCATTATGTATACAAAGTACACCGCCCTTCCCTTGGTATATTCTCTATTCTGCTGTCCCAATATATCTTTAAACCCATCCTCTATATTTTCGAAAGAAAAAAATATAAATTAGATGATATAATCAGTTAATTATATTCTGAATCTGTACATCACTAAGGAGCCTATTGTTATTTAGGCAGCTTAATTTTTATGATATCATGCTGATGTTAATGGGATATACCTGATGGATATTGATTGATAGATCTCCTTCTTTGAAACCTTTGTGCCTTAGTATGTATAAGTCAACTTGATTTAAATGATTTTTTTTCTGGGACTTGAAAGCAGCCATATTTTGGAAAGATATTCAACAGCTAGACTTTGAGCTTCATTTCTAATGAAATTGTTTTAATTAATTGAAAGAAATGTTTATTGAATTTCATTTAGTGTCTTTGTGTGCATTGATCCATATCATTTATGACTGCACTGGAATTTGAAATAGATTTTGTAAGTTTCAGCTAACAGTTTTGGCAGGGTAAAATTAAAGATAATTTTTGATTTATAATATAAGCCTTATAAAAAAAAATGTTAGTATTGCATGTAAATTGCTGAAGGAAAAATGAATTCAAGTGGGATTAAATTTTGATGTACAGTTTGATAAGCAAGTTCCTTAGACAACCGACAGTGTAATAATGATTTTCAAGCCTGCATGAATGAAGTCTCTCAAATGTTTTGATGTTATTTTGTTTTTGTAGAAAAAGCAAACTTGCTGATGAGTAAGATTTTTTAATCAAGTGCACATTTTGTGTTGTTTCAATTTCATATTAATTTTGATCTTTTTTTTGATTTGTAGATTTTGAATGAATTGCATGCATATTTTAACACCATTTTCAGTCAATATGAACACATTTATTCCAGCTTAGTATTAGTCTTTTGAGAAGTCCAAGTAATCTTTGGTTTTAATTTATTTGATATATGCATATTATATGTTCAAAGTAATGACAAAAAAGTTCAAAGCTTCTGTAGTAAGCACAATATAGTGTGGTTTTAAGGCTTTCAATGTATACAGGATTGTTTATTCAATATTACTGTATTAGTGTTATTTATGGTTGTGCCTAAAAATTGTATTAATTTCAAATAATTTTTCATTCATTTTATACAAGTTTTTTTTTTTTTTTTGGTCACTAGATGTTTTTTTAGTTTGTTGCATGAACACAATTTTTTTGATGCATTTTAATATCATTTATAATTACAATTTTATTGAAGTGAGTTAAAAAAAGTTTTGGATATTCCATTTGAGTGAATGAGTTAAATTAATACCGGTAATTATAAGCAATCATCTAAATTTCAATTAAGGAATTTAAAATATACTGAATATTCTTAATTTTTAGTGTCTGTGAGTAATTTATATTATTTTGTTAATGACATAGAGACATCAAATTGAGATAACATGAATTCACAACTGGATTTAACATACTAAGTGTGTAAATTTTATTTTTACTTGGTCCTACATGTATCTAGCGAAATTACTAGATAAAAAAAATCCTCACATATTTGTATGAGCCTCTGAAGCCTAAAAGCTTGAAAAATATGGGAGTTTGAAACTTGTTAAAAATAAGTTTCAAAGTGTTAAATAAATGATAGGATATGCTTATTTTAGCTGATTTAATTTGAAAGATTTGAGGAAAATAACACTTATTTCTGTATGATTAGGGGAAAAAAGAAACTGGAAAAAGCACTAGACAAAGCCAAGGATGATCTTTCAGGCCTCAGTGAGAAGTTAAATTACTGAAATAAATATATATAGCTCTCAAGGAGGTAGGTTACCAAAAATAGTTTAAGTCTATATATAGGCTTAACAAATAATCAAAATAGTTTATATCAAGCTAATAATCCTGGATGATTTGCTGAAATATTGGGAATTTGGCATAAAACATAATACAGTAAAATTGGTTTCCATGAATCTTTGTTATTAGTAAATCAACATAAAAAAAATATTTCAAAGCAATTAATACCTTTCATTAAGTGTTTTCAGTGCCATAAATCAGTGAAATACGGCGATGACACTGCCCAGTTGAAAAAAAAATTACTAGATATGTTTGAACTACAATTTAGAAAAATATTAATTTTGTTTTAACTCCTTTTACACAAAAAATAATCACAAATCAATATATATATCAAGCTATAACACTGTGGGGGATCATAAAAATTAAAAATTCAATCTAATAATTAGCACATCGTAAATAATTGTGCATTACTGTTTTTACATTAAATGAACAATGCTAACTATAAAAAAGATTTTGATTTAGGTAACATTTCACCCGACTACAAACAAGAATTGAATAAGTCATAAAAGACTCAAAATTTCTAGTTCGATTTCATCATTTAATTATATTTTATATTATGTATAAAGATTTGTAAATAAACAACGTTTTCAAAACGTATATTTTGCTGCATTTTTCCTGATTTTTTGGCCAAATTTTATGGATTTTTTTGTAAATCAATCAAATGAGTTCAAGTGAAAAGCTGTTTAACTAGCTAAACTTTATGAATTTTTGTATTTTTTTCCTCAGAAATGGAGGTGAAAGAGGAGAAGGTACAACAGCTGCTAAAACAATTAGAAATCAAGACGAACGACACCCAGAAATTCAGGACAGCGGCCGAGGCTGCCAAGGTAATTAACTCAACCAGGAATGATAACTCTGTAAACTCAGGGGGAGGTTACCTGTATGAGGGATGATAACTCTGCATAAGCTCAAGGGAGGTAACATATATCAGGGATGATAACTGTAAATTCAGGGGAAATAGCAAATATTAGGAATGATAACTCTGTAAAGTCAGGGGAGGTAATATGTATCAGGGATGATAACTCTTTATAAGTTCAAGGGGGAGGTATTTTCTCATCAGGATTCTAGAAGGATAACTCATTATTTTTAGACAGGAAGAGTTATATTTTATGAGGCAGTTGTATGTTAGGCTTGGTTTCTAATAAACTTAAAGAAATAAGTTCAAGAGATGATCAAGTTTTTGGAAGGAATGAACTTTCCTGTTGGACCATCTTCTTTGTTTACTTGGAATATTTCAAAACTTGCTTATTTAATAACAAAAAGAACTTCAACATGAGTAGAGAACTAATTTAAATTACACCATACTTTCTCTTAATTTGTAGCATAGTTTACTCTCACACTGTGTGCTTGAAAATTTTTGCCATGTCAACAGATTTATTGAACTGGAATATATTTTGCATAAAATTATTTAAAATTCATGTACCCAACTTCAGTTGCACATGTAGCAACTGTTTATAATGAATATGAGGCACATCACATTTATTTGACACATAAAAAATCTTACCATTATATGAAGATAATATACAGTAGACAAAGGAGATAAAATATTTAGGGCTTTGGCAGAAGTTTTCAAGCATGTGATATTTAACTTTTTTCTGCTTATCTTTTCATGCTTTCTGTAGAAATTTTAGCATAAATTTTTCTCGTTCTTTACTTTTTCTTGCTTTATGCAACTTATTTCATTCTTACACAACAAAAAGAAAACCATACAAGAGTTAGAAGATGCAAAAACAAAGAATGAGGCGACCATTAAGTCTAAAGACGCCCTGATCCGAGACCTCAACAGCAAACTGTCAATGTTAGAACTGGAGGTGGGACAGACAGATTATCTTTCTAAAAAAGACTCCGAACGCAACCAAGAGAAAAACTCGGATCTAAAGGTTTGTGTGTGAGAATCCCTGTCAAGTTTTAACAAACCAGCCAATCAAATTGTTTTTCACCATCTAATATTATGAAACCAGCCAATCAAATTGTTTTTCACCAAGTTTTATGAAACCAGCCAATTAAATCATTTTTCACCATGATAGAGGCCTGTGTTAGCAATGCATTACTTAAATACAAATTAAATTATATCAGTCATAATAATGCAACTCTGTATTTTTGTTGCATTATTGGAATCAAACAATCCCTTTGATTTTTTTTTTCAAAATATTTTCTTTCTTTTTTGAATTTGAATCAAACAAGTCAATTGGTTTCATGATGTAAATTACTGATCTGATTTCTCTGTCAAAAGCTAAACAAACAGACAGAAATATTAATTTGAAAGATATTGAAAAGAATGTTTTTAAATTAATATGAAAATAACACCAGCCCTAGAAGTCTTGCCTACAGTTTATCTTAATGAAACTTTCTGTAAGACTGAAATTTATCCGAAGTATAATGATTTTTGACACATGTTTCTTAATCCGTAGATAAAGAAATTAAATTGATACTTAACTGTGTCTTATAGGTTATTTACACAGTCTATGAACATTTGCTATAAAGTGAATGAAATTCACAAATAAAAGATGAAATTGTTAATTGATAGTATATGTATAAAACACAAAACAAAACACCAGTGAAAGGTAACAAATTACGTAACTATATCAGGTTTTAATTAAACCTTTTGACTGCTTCTCTTACAAAGCCAGAAGAGATGAAGGTACGTAGGGCATGTTGACAGGAAATTCTCCCATAATTATATTGTGCTACAATTGTGTTGCAACAAAATTAATTTATAGGCTTAATTCGGCTATAAGATTTTGTACGTGTCAGATATATATCATTTGAAATGCTTTCAGTGAGGTATTTGAATTGTTGTAGGCTATAGTCCCGGTAAATGTGGTTTTATTTCATGCTAGATTAATTGTTTTTTAACTTAATCATGTTAATGAAATTTCATTTACATTTAGCTTAAAATAGTTATGAAGATTTACTTACCAGCTTTTATATTACTTTGCCATTTGAAGACCATTACATCCCATGAATTTGAATATTCAGTTAAAAAATGGAAATGCCTTGCATAAATGCTTTCTTGTTAAAGCAAATAATTTTACCCTTAATAATATACATGTATAATAATTCCCCAAGTGAGAAAAGTTTTGTATTTGTTCATATATATAAAAATGGTTATGTGAAACATCCATTATTTCTAACTTATTAATTAGCTTTAGCATGGATGCATTCTCTCTGCTTTATCTATACTACAGGATTATAGATTCAGTAACTAGCTTCATCTACCTTTTTTTTTTTAACTTTGCTAGATGACATTTGCTTTTGCCTTGTTGGCCTTTGACCTCTTGACCTTTATTGGTAGTATACTGAAATAAATGTAGTTCTGTTATTTGATTTTCATATGTTTTTCTTATACAGTGTTTAAAAAAATAATTGTTTCATTATTTCTGTGTAAGAAATAAATTCTCAAGGGTCATCATTTACATGTACACATAAGAATGGTCGTTGTTTACTCATGATGAGGAAAAGACGAGATCACTCATGGGAATCCAACAATGAGGAATGGTCCCTTTTCGTAATTTTTGAAATTTAATGAGTTAATTCTATTATTTTTTCAAACACTGTATAAGTAAATTTTGCATGATTTTTTTATTCTGTTTGGCTGTTCTGTAGAATCAATTCAGGCCAATTTTGTTTTGAGTGGAGCACATTACTACCAATATGAAAAAAATCTTCATAATATTTGAACTAAAAATACCTAAAGGTGATTTGAAATATTCAGAAAAATAGTATGGTGTTCACATAAAGTATATTGGCCTAGATTTGTGGATTCTTTGCTTTTTGCTGGTGTTGGGTTTGCTTTGGTTTTAGTTTTCGTTCATTGCTTTTTATTTATCTTAAGTTTGATAATTGTTGTATGTCTCAGTTTGGAAAGAATATTGAGTGACAGGTGGGAAGGGGGTATTAAAGTAAAAGATGTACTTGTTAACTGTACATGTGCTTATTTGTGGTATATAGATTTGATTTTTTGTGCATTAGATTAATCATAGAAATTAGAATTCTTTATTTCGGAAGATTCATGTATTGTATTTTATCAGTAGCAATTCACCATCGGCCAGGATATTATAATAAATATTTATTTAAATCAGAAAGAGTTCATGAATTTAATAAGCATCATTCATTTTATAAGAAGATTTTTTCATATGATATTTATATAATAGTGTTGCATTATGCATGTACTATGCCTAAATAGTAGGCAGGGTTTGACACATGGTGCACGAGCCGGAGGCGAGTGCACTATGTGTCAAACCCTGCCTACTATTTAGGCATAGTACATGCATAATGCAACACTATTGTTATTATTATGCTGACTGTTGTAATTATTTAAGCGGCAATCCATTTGACTTTTTCCTGAAAATATCGGTGCTAATTCAGCGCACTTGCAAGAACTCATTCAAAATCTTCATGCTAAAATTGGTTGCATGCTTAGTTATTTTGGTTACTAGTATTTTCTCTAAATAAGTCAGAATTTTCTGTCCCAAAGATACTCATCTTTATTTTCTGTTTTGTTAGTAAGACTTATTTGTTTACAGACGTGGATTTTCATTGATAATTTTCTTTTACATCCTTCAATCAAGCGCTATATAAAAAGCGTTTTAATGACCCCATGGTATCAATTCATCTAACGATCTGTATGTAATTAGTTTGAAACTTTGTTGTACACATTTATCTAAGATTCCTTAGAATAAATATAACTGTTTTCAAATAATATTTGTCTATTTTCCCTTTCTTGTGTCAATTGTATAAATTAAGTTTATATATTTAATAAAATTCATATACTTAGTGATCGTCTCTGTGGCGTAATCGATAAGGCATCGGACTGGCAACCTCTGGGTCGTGAGTTCGATTCCCGGTGAGTGCATGGAAGAATTTTATTCAGTAAATAAAGCCGTGCACTATTTCGGCATAGTATGCTTACGCTATATAAATCCTTAGACCACTA